ACAGTGCAAGAACTATAATAGCCATTACGTAGGACAAACAAGCAGAAGACCACCAGAGCACATCCATGAACACCAACTATAAGTCAGAAGACATGATGAAAACTCCTTAAATTTCACAATATGTAGATAAGACTTTACCATTGTTTCAACTGGGAAACTGTGAGCATTCTAGACCAAGCCAAGTCCAAAACCGCTAGAGAATTCCTGAAAATGTGGCACTTGGTCAAATCAGCCATCAAAAGGCACATAAAGGTAAACATCTACTTACCATTCAAAAGAGATAATCAAAAAGCCAAAAAGGATGAAAAAAAAATAGGTTGCTGTTACCTAGTTTGGGGATGAAATGTCTGCAAGAAAACAACCAAGATCGAAGAGTACCAATAATCCCACACTATGATTATGTACTCTTTAAAATGAAACATCAGTAGGAAGCCCTATATAATTATATGCTTTAAAATCAAGATTATATTTGTTAAAACTAGTATTTGCAAAACTGCTAGGTCAGAAGTGTCAAACTCAAGGCGTATCCGGTGGGATACGACCGGTACGCCCCGGTACGGGCGACCGGTGCCTGCTGGGAGCACCAGATACTGTTCTGGTACGGTGCTCTGGAGGGCCCACCCGCCCGTGCTCTTTACCTGTATTTGTGATGTTTGGGACTTCCATGCATGCTCACGGAGCGTACAGCGCCTGTGCGACGCTCCGCTGAGCAGCTGGAGTGTCGCCGGTGGTAAGTAAGCATGTGTGTGCTGTGTGTGTGTGCTGCACGCATTCATGTGGTGGATGCCCGGCCCCGTTGCACCATACCAGTTGCACTGGGATCCGGAACCCAGCACTGGCCCACAGCCACATCTGGCCTGCGGGTTGCTTAGATTTGGCCTGCGGGGATGCGTTGCACCATACCAGTTGCACTGGGATCCGGAACCCACCACTGGCCCACAGGCACATCTGGCCTGCGGGTTGCTTAGATCTGGCCTGCGGGGCTGCTCTGGAAACAGTAAAGAATCAGCCCGCGGTGCCCCTGCCAGTGAAAACGGAACTGGTGAGAGCTACTCACATTTTTAGTCAGTTTTACTTTCTAAGGAAATATGGTCTTCTCACCCATACTTTCATCCCAATTTTAGTCTTAAAAAAACTTACCAACTTAACATCGATACTGGTTGCATTAGCATCCAAAGAATTCTCTACCAGTTCTTTAACCACACTGACAACTGATACAATGACCTGTGAACTAGAAAGAAGTCGAATAGTTTCCGCTGGTAGTTGTTTCATGTTTTGGCTTTCAGGAACTGGTTTTCTAAAAAAGATAAAATCACAATTTAAGAGAGTACGACACTGTCTTTTTTTAATTGTTATCTTCTGTACAGAGTTGAAGATAAAAGCATAGTGCTCTGTCAAATTACTGATCAATAATTTGGTGCATTTTGCTGATGAAACCTTTCACATCTGGAATTTATATGAGCAGTTTGATGTACCTGGTACAGCATCTTGCCATGTTATCTCGGGCTCATTTCAGATTCTTCATTCTGAGAAAGTGGATAGGATGATTGATGGAATGACTTCTGCTACATGTAGGTTACACCTGTAGCCTCCCTGGCTGTTTCTGCAAGCACGTGTCTGTATGAGAGGGGCTGAATGTAGGAGGTGGTCAGTATCCCTTTGAGAAAAAGGAGGCCACTGTTCCTGCTCACCAGAGGCAGTGGTGAGCATCCTCCTGAAGAGCCCTCCTTGGATTTTAGCCAATTTAGAAACTTTCACCTGGTTTCCAACATTCTCATTGTAGTAAGGGTGCTAAGTGGCAAGACTGCAACTGCAGCATTCCTTAACATGGTTTATGTAGGTTCTTTTAGTCAGGGTTCAGGCCTGAGTTATAGATGGAAATACACTGGTGGCTGTGGTGTATGACCTTCATCAAGACTTGGATGGGGAAGTCTATTCCTCCTGGACCTTTTACATAACATGCTGGTTTTCAGTATCTTTGACCATGTTGTCCTGCTGCTGATCTTCTTTATGAATTGGGAGAAAAAGACAGTGTTTTGTCCACAGAGTGCTGCAAATTTTTCAGTCCTCCTCCCTGTTATTCAGCATCTACAGGAAGCACTTGGAGAATGACCTAATGATTTAGGGTGAGGAATGGTGTAATATCCAATTACACAACTCTGTCCCAGGCAAAGGTGGGGATGCAGAAGCCCTGGCCAGGTTTCTGTAAGATTAAAGACGTGAATGAGAAGAAACAAGTTGAGACTGAAATCTCTGCAACGTATCCATATTGCTTATATAGAAACCAGCAAATGTTTTGCCTCTCCTATGGAGGGAATTACTTGCCCTGAAGGAGATGGGAATCCTTATAACCCGCAATTATAGGTAGAGTGGAGACTATGGTTACTTGGGGTATCTGTCGAGTTTTGGCTGGTTTTCTTATTGCATTTCTCCCTGGAACATGGGACCCTGCCAGGAGTTACCCATGTTCTCACACACTCTAAAATTAACCTCAATATGTTCTACTTGAAACTGCCTTTGAAGAATGACTGAAAGCTTCAGTTGGTGTAGAATGCAGACACCTGACAGGTGAGTCACTGGTGCCATCTAACATTCTTTGTATGAGTTCCCTGGCCTTCCACATAGAAATAAAAATGCTGGTTATAACTTGGGAGAACCTTTTATGGCTTGGCACCTAGATCATGCAAAACTGCTTCGCTTTAGGTAGCATCTCCATCTCTTCAGTTTGCAAGAACATGAGGATTTTCTGTGTATGCTCCATAATTGTGGACCACTTTATCCATGGAGATGCAGATATACTCTATTTAGCAATATTTTAATGAAAATACAACTTTAATTATTATTTAAAGGGTTGATTGCTTATAGGGCTGGTAATTATATTTGTTTTACATTTCAGGTATAAAGGTAAATGCATGTTTAGACCATATTAACAAAAGCATAATTTTGGAATTATAGCAAGTTCATTTACTTTCATTACACTCAACTTTAGCTATGTTTAGTTTACTTTAAGAAGGATTTCCAGAAACTGGAATGGATGGAGCCAACAAGAATGCTCAGGGATTAGAAATTAAGTTGTATGAAGACAGACTAAAGAAGTTAGTAAGTTTAGCCTTGATTGGAGGATACTGCAGCAAAATATCTGAAATATATCGTCTTAGATGATGATCAAGACTTATTCACTCAAACTTTAGACTTTTTCATTGGCTTTCTGTAATTGAAATCCAGTATTAGAAATTTACTTTTCTAGATAGCAGTCTAGAAAAGTCTAGATAGCATCTAATGAAAACTTATATGTAAATTATAGCAGCACAATTGTGCAACAACAGTCAAAATTTTCTTTCAGAAGTCTGAAAACTGCAGACTCTCCTCATTACAGAAAGAAAGCTATGTTCTTACATCCTATGGCTTATCTTCAAAGGCATTACTTCAGCTTTTAAAGAGAAAGCATGGTAGAGGCTTAGAAGAATGTTTCGAAGGCTGGTCATCAGATTCAAGGCTAAATTGCAAATGGTCAGTATTCTTAAAGAGTATAGTAAATGCATTGTTTTAGCATCTGTTGTTCAAAAGCTTAGCTTTAATGCTAAACCACAGTCCAGCATTTTAAGAACAACCTACTTAGGCTCATGGTTCACATGGTTCACAGCTGGCATTCTTTGGACTAATCTGCCTAGCTGATGATGGTACAAGCTGTCCCATTTGCAAACCATTGACAGGAACTGAATTTCCCTCCTGGTGATCTCCAGACACTGCTCATGTACAGAGCTTGCAACAAACATCATGCAGGCACTACAAACGAGAACCCCTCCAAGCTCTGGAAAGAATGGAGAAAGGTAAAGAAAACTGCTTGTGCCATATGGCATGAGAAGAGTGACTTCCTCCCTTGGCAATCAAACAAACTATGTGAAGAAGCTGAGGGGAATATCAAGACTGGGCTGACCAGCAAAACTTGCCACAGTCAAAGAGAAGGAACAGATATAGATGTTGTATAAGGGCAAATGTACAGAAAGAAAGAGCAGGAGGAAGAGCTTCGTGAGGAAAAGGATGATTATAGGAACCTAATCTCTCCACACCCTGCAATTTCCTTAAACTCAGTATTTCATTATTTCCAGTTTTGTTTTTATGCCGGATTATGATGTTCTTTGAATCCAAGTACTGATTTGGAGGCTTTAATCCAGACCTAGTATTTTCTGAGTGCAATGCACAGCTGCTTTACTGACTAGCGTAGCATAATGTCTTCAAGGAATGTTTTCAAGTGACTCTTCTGAGAAGCAGATCCGAAGAAGATTCTCATCTATGAGTAAAGTATTTCCCTAAGTAGTTGGCATATATGATTTAGCTTGTTGTGCAAACACATCCTAAGGTAATCTACAGTATTGGTATTCAGCCTGGGCCATATGCTATCTAGATAGAGCTACCTTTAAAAAATAGCTTGGAAACTGGTAAAATGTGAAACCAAAAGCAGATACAGGTCAGTCCTTGATTTACAACAGTTCACTTAGTGACAGTTCAAAATTTAACAGCATTGAAAAAATAACTTATGATCATTTTTCACATTTACAACCGTTGCAACGTCCCCATGTTTACATGATCAAAATTTGGATGCTTGGCAACTGGTTCATATTTATGACAGTTGCTATGTTCTGTGGCCATGCGATCACCGGTTCCACCACAAAACCGCATTCGATTAAAGCGCGCTCGACGAAACCGCGTAGCTGACGTCATCACAGGGCGACAACAGCGAGCGTGGAGAAAGAAGGGCACTTTAAATAGCGCTTTGAAAGCAAGCCGATT